TTTAATTATATAAATTATGTAATTATAATATTATATGTGATATTGATGTTAAAAATAAAATTTATTTTAATAATTTTTATATAAATTAATAATAAAAATTTATAACAAATATATTACTTAAGATATATGTTAAAAAAAAAAAACACTTCATAAATTTATAAATTAAGAAATTGAATCAAAAAATATATTAAAGTGGAACCTCTTTTGGGCCCCAAAAGTCTTAATTATAACCGCTCCCCCGCTCCCCATCTAGTGATTCACGCTTGTAATTTTGTGCCATCCTTTTCTCATACTCAACAATCTACAAACATTTTTTTTTTTTTTTATGTACTTTATCTCCCTTTGAAGATTTAGACTTTGAGAGCTTAAAAATTTTCAAGATTTAGGGTGTATCTTTTTTGAAAGACTTCGGGGAGGGATAAAGTGCACTTAACTTGTAATTGAGAAGGAAATAGATTCAAAAGGTGCAAATGTGCATCATGGGTTATAATTATTCCTCCTTTTGTATTGAAAAATAGATCATTTCCACCATTGTAAAGCTTTACCTACTATAATTTAAAAAACAAAAAAGAAATAGGAAAAAATGGATTTGGATCATCTAAGGTAAATGGTTTTTTGGGGAAGACGCTTTTCCTCCGGAAAAATCACCTCCACCAACAGCAACGATCATTTTTTCTATTATTATTATTTTTTCACAACAACAGCGTTGATCATTTTGTGTCATTTTTCAGTCACAAACTTGCAAGTGGAAACTATTATTGGGCAACAGAAATTTCGAAGCGAAAAACTTGTTCGGAAATGACAGTTTTTAAAAATAGAATGAATTTTTTTTGCTAAATAAAAAGTAGTTCACTATTCTTTTAAAATAGTTGATTATTATTCATAAGAAAGTATAAAATTGGACATATCGATATTAAAGTGTCAAGAATTTCTCTTAAATGACAAAATTCGGAAGAAATTTATTAGTTCTCCTAAAAACTCCTTTCAAGATTAATTACTTTCTTGGGAAGGCATCGGGTTCCAATGGGCAAAAAATTGTAACAGTTTCTCGAGATTGCGCACATACCAAACAGCAAAAAAATGTTGAATTGGAATAGAGTTTCCTGTGGAGCTTAAATTATAATAAATAAAAAAATAAATATTATTAAACATAAAATTGTGTTAAAAAAATTTAAAATATTTTATTTAATAAATTAAATTATATAATTTATTACAATTCACACGAGACAACATTTTTTTTTTATTGAAATATGCCACCCCACAATATAGAAACATAGGAAAAATCATTTAAACATTAAGTAAAAAAAACTAGGGTGTCAGAAAATGATTAAACCTTTTCTTTTTTTTTTGGAAAATGGGGAATAAGAAAACGATAGAATTAGGAAAGAAAAAGCATGATATTAGATGACACCGAATTCCAGATGACAGAAGAGTGCATTGAATTAGAAAAAAAAAAAAAAAAAAAGAAATAGAGAAAGAAAAAGATGTCCACATATGAACAGCTCAGCCCCTCTCACTCTCCAATAAAAATGACCTCCTCTCGTTTCCAATCGCCTCTGTAGCTCTCTAGAGTTTATTCCTTCCTTCTCTTCTTCTCCATCTTCATTTCCTTCCTCATCACTTCTCTCCTCTCCTCTTCTTATATATAGCATCAGACACTGAGATAATCGAATTAAACCATTTTATTGTTGTGTTCAAGAAATTGATAAAAAGAGAGAGAAAAAAAATGGTGTTTTCTCATCTGGGCTCTCTGCTCCTGGCTTTGTCTTTTCTTGCTGTTGTAGCTTCTGGGTCTCATAGAAACCTCCCAATTTTGTCATTTGATGAAGGTTATACCCAGTTGTTTGGGGATGATAATCTGGCCATCCATAGAGATGGGAAAACCGTTCATTTGTCTCTGAATGAAAGAACAGGTCTGTTTTCTGGGGTTTCATTGATTTTCCCTTCATTTCTTTGTTTCATATTTTCGGGTTTTTATTTTTATTTTTTTAAAAAAAACTTGTTGAGAAATGAAGAAATTCGTTTGGGACTTTTACAGGTTCTGGATTTGTGTCGCATGACCTTTACTTGCATGGTTTCTTCAGTGCCTCAATAAAATTGCCTGCTGATTACACTGCTGGAGTTGTGGTTGCTTTCTATGTGAGTAATCGTTCAAGATTCCTACTTCAATCGGTTTTTACCTAGTTTTTCTTGTTACTAAACATGTATAATATTAGTAATTTTTCGTCTGAATTTTTCGTTGTTTATCAAACCAATCAAATACCCAGCTCAGTTTCTTCACTTTCTTTTCACTTTTCATGTTCTCTGAGTTTAATGG